TTTTGGGGCAGAGCATACACGGACTCTAAAACATCAGAGGTGGGATCAGGTGCCATGGAGGAGTGAGCATCAGCTGCCGACCGGTCACACCCGCTGTGTGCTCCTTGTCATGATCGGGAAATAATGGAAAAATTCGTCGCCAATTCAGTGTGTAAATAATGGCCTAGCAATAAGTATGACAAACGTCAGTCAGCATTTGACTTAATGATGTGATCAGCTTGTGTTAGAAAAATTGGGGTACAACAAAACACATGGAGTACACCAAAAACAGTGGATTCTACAACATGAAGGAAACAATGTACATATTTTTTCTTCAGATAGCTTAAATATTGTATTGGTATGTTATTGTGAATATATATATATATATAAAAATAAAAGGTTTCATTCTCCTCTGTTTATATAAAATCCTCTTGGCAATATAAAAATATAGCGTCGGAGTGAGTTAAAACCATGCATTATACAGGAAAAATCACAGTAGCAAAGAAGTTTTATAGTCTATATCATACACTCATAATTCAATATTCTTAATTTATAATACGTATATCAGTAAAATGAACTTTTTCGGAACAATAGAAAATCATTTTCATTGAGCTAAATTTGAATTTATTTCATAACTCAGTTATATATATACTTTTCTACACTTTATACTGCTATTCACCACGATCAATGAAAAAAATATGCTGATGCTAAAAACAAAGGAAATCGCCAAATATTATATCTTGTAATAATTCATCAACAAAATAAGATTGTTAAGAATTAATCTGAATCCGAATCTACACACAAGTACGCTGATACCGATTATTAAAAGAATGCACGAATACCTCATTGACAATCTATGTAGTCTTTGGGGAACAGATCGTCCAACAATCTGTTGGAATACTGACGAGCGCTAATTATGCTCCTGTATTAGCCAACCTGTTTTTATATTCATATGAAGCAGAATTAATTCACAAACTACTACATGAGAAGAAAACTCTTATTGTGACCTTCACCTCGACATTTAGATATATCGAGGACGTTTCATCAATTAACAACGGTTACTTTCCTTAATATGTAAGACTACTTGATATATCCCAGTGAACTTAAAACAAGACACGTTCAGCTTTGCAATCTTCAGCTTTCCCTATTTTCATAGTAATATTCCAATATCACCTGCATATGGTGTTTTAGTCTCCAAACAGAGTATTCTCTGAGTACGATCAATTCTTTTACTACCAGGCTACTGACAAATAAGTTGATATTACAGGATTTGAACAGCCTTATTTAAATTCAGCATTTCAAAAATTCACTGGTCGTTATAATGACCTTATTTGCAAATACAATTTATCACTGGTTCGTGTTTTGACTGATAAGTTTCTTACCAATGGAAACCATTGTTTTTAAATTAAATTTGACTAAGGGTTATTCCAATTTCATGCATGACCGATACATCGGGTTAACGAATGGTTTGATCGGTCAACAAGGAATGTATTCGCCTCCTGGGCATCTGATCCGACCTCTGGTATTTTCAGGGGTCCATCTTTAATCCCCTGTTCACAAATTTGTATTGTTTAAAAGATTTTTGAGATCGATCACTGTTTGTTATCTTCACCTTTTTCATTCATGGTGCAGAAATTGGTGAACATAATTATCTTGACATGGAAAGAACATTTCAGATTGAACCCCATTTTGAGAGTTTTACTATCTGTAATTTCCTGTAAACCCCCTTCTTGACGAACTGTTATTTACTGTAAATAGACCTACCTCCTTTGTCGTTTTTCACCAGCTCTGCCATTGAGATTCTACAGGAACATTCAATGGAACCCAGGATATGCCCAGAAAGAATCAAAATCAGATAGATAAAGGACTTTTCCATGCTTCTCTGCATAAACGCAGAACAATTTTGCGTTATTCCTCCTTCTTTTCCTGCTTTTTTGTATATTAGAATAGGTTAAAAACACAATATGAGTTTAAAACTTCGAAATTGAACATAATCTAAATGCAATATTCGTTAAAAGTACGGCAACTAAGTGCATGCTTCTTACGTTAGATCTAAATAATTTATGGTTATATTTCTTTTCTAACATATATGTTAAATCATTTCTTTTCAAATCCAGCGGAGACACACATAAAAAAGAAAACCTAATATTTTTCATGCAAAAGTGATACCTCCGGATATTGTACATATCTTACATTTTTAGCTTTGAAGTGCAAAAAAGCGTCTGATTGAAAACAGATTGAATTACTGTGACAGTGCGCCTAGACTGCGTGTATTAGGCTGTAAAATGGACATCTGACTATTTTTGAAGTGCTCATTGCGTTTCCAAAAGCCATTTTTTCAAATTTTGTGAAGCATGTGCATCGGTAGTGGAGGATTGAAACAGATATTGCAGTAAGCAATAAAGATAAGAAATACAAGAACACCTAAGCTGATTACATATAGCAGTATACTCTTTCTGATAGAACGAAAAGCAAACAAAAACCCATCTAACCCTCGGAAAAAAAAACTACATATAAATTCAGCATGCAATATTTTCATTTTAACATTGCAAAACAAATTATACCTTAGAAATAATATGCAATTACATATAATTCGACACTCGAACATAAAATCTTACAACTAATTTTAAAAACAAACTACCTATCTTTTTCACGTCATTACTTTCTTTGGAATTTATAAAGTGAAAACGCAGCCATTATCATCATAATTATTCAATCATTGTAAATTATTGTCTTTGATAATTAGTAATAGAAAACCAAGTGCAATGAAGCATAAAGACGGTAGTTTGTACTTGAGCTGAAATGGCAAAAATTGTGATCCGTCAATTAAACTCTGAATATTTACTGTATTATCACATTTGTAATGCTAAAAAAACAACAACAAACAAAAAAAACAAAAAAAAAAAAACAAAACAAAACAAAAACAAAAGCAAAAAACTCAAACCCCTCTTTTGAGCTCATTAAGAGAAAATCTTAGATATGTTGATGTATCTGTAATAGTTGTTAAACATTACAGTGAATCATAAACATTATTTTAATTAATGTTCTCGACAGAATTCAGTTCATAAAATAAAAGAACAAAGGTTTTGTTCTGCTGATTAGAAAAATAAAAAAAAATAAATATAGCAAGACGAGGCATAAATTATGCCCAAAATCATAGTTTTGTAGCTCCTCTAAGTCAAGACCTAATGATTGTACTTCTTCGTTGCTTATGAAGGCATTCAAAAGTGAACACGGGAACGTTACAGTGGCGGTTCCAGGAATCTTGAAAGGGGGGGGGGGGTAGTTTGAAGTTGGGGTAGGGACCCACGGCCACACCAAAAAATTGATTTATTAAATCTTATGTATATTTTGGACTCAAAAAGGGGGAGGGGCTGCCCCCTTCTAAATCCGCCAGTGCGTTAGCGAAGTCAATGTGTAATAGAGAGAACTCAGGAAGTGTATGACACTCTGTTTGTACGGCAGAGAAACCCTGGAAATGCATCACACAATGTTAGAGAACAGTTTCTCTTCTGCGAATGCGCTGATATTTTTCAAATAATCATGCTGGTGAAGAAAAAAATTAATAATAAAATAAAACTCGATTAAATTAAATTGCGGAAATGAAAGAACTTTATGTCGATATAAAGCCGAGCCTCCCTCATAGAAATCAAAATTTGACGAGAGTCGCGACATTTTATAATTTGTACACTTTAATTGAAAAGGAAATTGTAACCTTGTTTTTCTAGGAAGAGGGCTTCATAGAATAAACAAGATTTCATATAACTCGACTACTTATGGATGGTTTTCTATGTGAAACATCTACATTGGTTTTCTATGTGAAACATCTACATTTTACTTGGTGACATTGTATTTTGTTAAGTCTTCCTACCGTTATCTTCATTTATGGGTGCATCCTGAAGTAGCTTGGGAATTAGAAAAAACACATACTATTTGATCTAGTTTTACACTAAGTCTTCAACTTGTATTAAAAAATCGAAAAAGAAACTTTTTTCATAATCATTTTATTGAATAGTTATTGTACAAAATCTATATACATCATTTTTGTCCTTTTTTCAGTACAAATAGTTTGCAGTGACTAATATATATATATACTTGCTTATATGAATAATAATGGTGACTTTGTCGGAACCTCAATTACGTTAAATTGAAAGTAAAACTCCACAGGAAGAACAGGACATAGGCATCAAACCTGTAAATCGTTTTTGTTCTTTATAAAAAAAAATATTTTCAATACAAGTAGTTTGCAGGAAAGTTTTTATATGATTCTATGTAAAAGACCTGCTTGTATGAAAAATATTAGTGACTTTGTCGAATCCTGACTTGCGTTAGATTGATGGCAAAAATTCACACAGAATTCGAAGAACGGGACACAGACATCAAACCTGAATTCTTGTTTTTATGACATATATATTTCTTCTGGAAATAAAACCACACACAATTGACATACATAATTGATGGCTTTTATTTTCTGCTTTGTGCTCCAAGAGTTATCCTTCGTTGTAAAAAAATATCTTTAATTTATAACATTCAGTGATCGTTCTTTGATGTGAAAAAAGAGTATAAATAGCATCATAAATAAAACAACAAAATGATAACTTACCTCCCTAACATGATTCCTAATTTTTTTTTTAAAGATTAAAAGGTAAAAACTGAAGTATCACAAAATTAAAAAAATATTCTTTATCCAGTTTATTAGTTAATTAATGTTCAAAATTGAATTGATACCAAGCAATGTAAATGAAACCTGTAACGTACTAACTAAGATTATCTACGAGTGAAATACAGAAATAGGTCAGAATGGATTCGTACACACTATAATCCTATGCTTTTTATTTGGGTTACATTATGCGGTATAGGTACATGTACTTGACATTTATTGACAAAACGATCAATCAAAACTTTTCAAAATCACAATTTGTTTTCTTTCACCAAATATCAAAAGTCTTATCCTAAAAACAGACGTAAACATTCATACTATTTCAGTGTTAAAGAATTTTAAAAAAATATTTACTGTTAGAGAATTTAAAAATAAAAATCATATCTACACGTTATTCAAATACATTATCTGAAAACAAATATCTTAGTTTAAAGCAAAAATCGAGTACAAATGACATTTATTAATTACATGACGACGTTTTACAAAACTAATACAAAATTACAGACAGAACACCAAAAAGCAACAAAAATGGCGGGAAACACCTTAGAGACACCGCTGCACCGTCCCCTCCTTGAGGTTTCGGATCTCGCTGTAAACTGGTGGGAGTGCTTTGATTGGAAACTCGGGTCTCTGCATTAACTGATATTGTTGTAGAGGGAGGATAAATAGGTCCTTGAATGCACGGCGTTTTTTCGTCAGATTTTAAGACAAGTTTGTGATCACAGTTGCCGACTTTAACTAGTGTACAGGTTGAGGGATATGATGTTTTACCAGCCTTAGCTCCGTACCTATCATAATCGCAAAACAAAGAATATTATTAAGTATTATCTGACAATAATGAATAAACATCACTGCACAGGAGAACTACAAAAATAAATAAATAAATAAGTAAATAAATAAATAAATAAATAAATAAATAAATAAATAAATAAATAAATAAATAAATACATGTAGATAAAAAAAGGGAAAAAAAAAAGATCGTCCAAAGCCCATCAGTATTTAAAATGATTGAAACAGGCCAACTATCAAATATTTGTACCCTATGTCTCCTGTTTCTTTTTCCGATTAATATTTATCATGCACAATTTAAATATCACAATGGGATGTTGATCATGATCTTCATGAATGAGATATGGAGATAACGAACAGTATTCAAGCTCAAAGTCCATACATTTTGTTGAGAATTGGACCGCTGCTTTGGTTTTATTGTCATAATTTATAATGGTGGCGTTCAACTTGGATTTTCAGTGCTCTTTAATTTATTATCGCAACATTGACAGTGTCAACAACAGATGCCATCTTAATTCCCCCCTCTATGTACTTACATACAACATTGACAGTGACAGCAACAGAAGCCATCTTAATTTCCCCCTCTATGTACTTACATACAACATTGACAGTGACAGCAACAGACGCCATCTTAATTCCTTAATCCCCTCAATGTACTTACATACAACATTGACAGTGACAACAACAGAAGCCATCTTAATTTCCCCCTCTATGTACTTACATACAACATTGACAGTGACAGCAACAGAGGCCATCTTAATTCCCCCCTCTATGTACTTACATACAACAATGGAGATCCCCTGACGGTTGACATTTGCAGTCCTCGCAGTCTGTGGGGTGGCGGTGAGTTCTATTCACGTTTACCTCTACACTTCTCCCAGCCTGATCCACGTATATACATAACTTTACTGGAATAAAGTATTAAAGTTAACTTTTTTGTCCCAGTGGATTATTTCTTTTCTTATGGTTAATAATTATTAAACATTACTCTACGTTTTGTCTATCCCCCCCCCCCCATTTTTTAGTTACAAATAATTAATGATCTAAAATAAGAATCGCTCCCGGATATATTGTTAAAATTTATTAGCTTATGAAAGAGCATATGACCATTGTGAAACGCTTGTGTCAAAAGAATTATTTGGGGCACACCCAGAAAACAATTACAGATTCTGCAAGATGAAGAGCATTCTTCTTGGACTAACCACAAGTAGTTTTTTATATTATGGCCTTTGATATTATGCTCTAGGGCCATGGACAACTCAGTTATCATGAGCATTATAAACTGCTCACACATGCATGCTTATTCTACTATTTATGATGGTAAATAAAAAAAAAACGTAGCATAATTTACACTTATTTTTACAAAATCTAGTTTTTGTTGTGCTGGTTTGAGGTATAAATAAGTATAAAGTTAATTGATATGTCTTTTTGTTGTTTGCACCTTCACAGACGCTATTTCTCACCTTACTCTGCACAAATAGCCCATCTCTGAAGTTTTAACAACACAATTAATTATCATTTGTCTTCATCGGGGTTTCACTTGGCACATGGTTCGTTCTCTTATCAGAGGAGCATACCTCACGGGGACTAGAATTATTAATTATCATCGCCTTTGATGATACATCATGTCAACAAATATAAAAAGGAAGATAAAAATGTCTGAAAAAGGGAAAGTTTTAATTGTTATATTCAAAACTTTATTCTGTTTCTCTTCATGCCTTTGTTAAATTATGTTTTCTACATAAAATCAATCAAATGTTAAACATTCTCTTTGTTACTAACTGTTGATCCAAGAAAAAAAAAACAGAACATATTAAGAATGATAAATATTTTTGACGGCTAATCACCTCATTAAACTTATTAAATCCATAAAAATGAACTTCCAAGCAAAAATTAAAAAAATAATTTAAGAAATATGATATTTAGACCAATTGCCAAACTTCTTATCTATTTCGACATTTTACTGCAAAATTTACATAATATATATTGTAGTGATGGACGTTCTGGAGACTCAAAGTTATTTTTTTTTAATTTTCCCTGTCAGGGAGTTCTTGTAAAATGAATTTAGGAGATTCAATTTAATGTACATCTGAAATTTAAGTCAATAATTATATACAGACATTCAAACGCTAACATTTAGTAATTCCAAATGCACATATGCAAATGTACTCGATTGTGTAATTCTCGAATCTTTTTTCTTTCAGCGAACAATCGCTGGTTGTGTCTCATTTGACCCTTGAATTATCTATCACTAACCGATTTATGTATGCAAAATTCATTGTGGTTTTGTTAGATATTTTTTTAACTGAGCATTTTTTTTAATTTACACATCTTAAAGTGCCGATTTCTTTTATACACCGCCCTCTGTCAAACGATTTTCATATATTATGCTAATTTTCATTTGTCATTTTAGCTGCTATATGTTTTGGAACATTAGTAAAATCAGTATTGATGCAGTTTTACGATTTTGAAGTGTAAAAATGAAAAGTATTTCCGATAAATGAAAAACAAATAAAGATTTTACCATTCCGTTTCTAATTCATTACTAGCAATGTATAAATGAACAGTGTGTAAATCCTTGCATTATAAAATAGAAATTATAGTGGTAAATATTATCACAATCAATATTTCTAAACTATTAAAGTACATGATTTTTCCAGCACATTTGAACCTATTCTCATTGTGTTAAAATCAGACCTGTTTCATAAAACAGCATGGAAATGATTTTTAACATGGTGTAATTTCTTCCAGAGAAACCCCTCTTTTGTGAGTTTTATACGAGCTGTAATTTACAGAGAACTGGCCTACCTCCTTTGTCGTCTCGCACCACGTTGTATCCATCCGCTCCTTCTGTGTACATTTTACAAGAACATTCAATGGACCCTAGGAAATGCACAGACAGAATCAAGACCAGATAGATTAGAGAGTTCGCCATGCTTCTGTGCAGAAGCTTAAGTCAGTGATGTGTCAATCCCCGGACTGGCCTCTGCCGCGGATCATTTTTCATGCACGTTCGGATACGCTTGGGTTGAATATGAAAATAGGTAAAAGGTACAATATGTGTTTATAAGCACTTTGAAATTGAACATAAATCTAAATACATTAGGTCGTAAAAATGCAGGATCTCAGTGCACCTTTCCTACGTTTTATCTGAATTATTAATTATCACATTTTCCCCCATAACATATTAATTTATATCTTTTCAATTCATGCAGACGTACAGAATACCTGACATTTTTGATGCAAAATTGATACCTCTGGACATGGTGCATATCTTAACATTTAAGCTTAGAAGTACTTAGATGACATAACATATATTGAATTGCTGTGATTTTACGCGAACACTGAGATTGGTAGTAAAAATGACATCTAGTTGATGTATCTGATTGTACAGTGATGGGGGATTGAAACACAAATTGCAATAGAGAATAAAATAATTTATTACTGAATTAACATTATGATAATGATATTTTATCGGAGACCACTGTAAATGTATGCATTTAAGTCTAGTGTTCTTTTTTACTAACGCTTAAAGGTATATTTGTTTTGCAAAAAAAAAAAAAAAAAAAAAAAAAAAAAAAAAAAAAAAATCCAAAAACTTTTCTTTCGAAAGGAATATATTTTTTAATGTAATTCACCCTTCAGTGACGTCATTATGTATATAGAGTTCACATATATTTAAGCAGGACACAAAGATTTGTCCAGATTTGAAAAAGAACATTTTTACAAAAAAAATGCACTAGATGGAACAGTTAAGTAAAAATACTATGGAATACAAGAACTCCTTATCTGATAATAATAAAGGAATAAACTCCCTTAGCTCGGTTTCCAGGATTTCAGATTTATTAGTCTTCTGCTGTCGATTATAGAAATCATTTTAATATAATACCAGGCTAAAGGGAAGAACAGGTCAGAATCTTAATTTCTGTTCATATAAACTCATACTTCACGCATTTTACAGCTGGAATTTTTATCGTGAACTACCAATACCAACAGTTAAATTCGATTTTAATTGCTAAACTAGAGCATTTTGGCTTCTGATGATTTCAAATGCCAGATTTCCAGTCAATGCTTACAAATTGTCAAAGTAATAATACTCCTTCCATTGAAAAAATATGAGTCAACAATTATTTCTATATTATCGTAAACGTAGTTAGGATTATCGTGGTAATTTAACTTAAGTTCTATCCCTATAACTGTATGATTTTATTAATTCCCTCTTTCATTTTCCTCAAATCTAAGCCTGTTGATTCGTTTGCAAGTTAAAGCTATATTCCTTCATTATATTCAGCTTCACAATGAAATCACCAGCACTTAAATGGAATGACATGATCCTAACATGATAATGTTGACACTTATACAAAATGTGCCCTGTAAATAGTCATTATCTGGAATATTTAATAAGTGCGATAAGTATTTCTCAACATGGCAGCTTTCAGGAGTATGTTCATATACATGTATAATTCTTCTGTTTAATTACTATGTAACTAAGTAAAAACAAATAATACCGAATTAGCAGAAAGTTTAGCGAGAATTCAATTTTTGCATATTTAGGATGTTGAGTTGGCTAAATTTGAATATCGCTAATGAATAACTCCGTATTTGAGGTTACTGATACTGTTACTTCTAAACATCAAAATTTCACTAAAATTACTTATCGCAAAAATTAAATTCTGATTTTTTTTAACGAAAAATTGCTTAATTTGCGACTAGCTAAAAAACCCATTTAAAGGGTATATATAATTTAGAGAAAAAACAATTATCCATAAAAACGTGAAGATCACGAAACAATGATTGATCTTTAAAAAATCTACAAACGTTACAAATCTGTGAACAGGGCATAAAACAGGAACTCCTAGAAATTCCGGAGGTGGGATCGGGTGCCTAGGAGGATTAAGCATCCTCTGTTGACCGGAAGCACCCGCCTTGAAACTTATGTATTGATCAGGTAGACGGGACATTCCGTAGTCAAATTTAGTACAAAAACAAACGCTTAACAATTGGTATGAAATATTTCAAACAAAATGCACCCAACGATATATTACATTTGCTAACATGGTCATTATCAAATTAAATGAATGCTAAAAAGTTCATCCACAAGTTATTTTAGACCTGTAGTTTTACTTTACATATAAAAATAAAAATCTTTAACATAATCCAAGTGTATTTTCTCATAGATGCGGGACACGGAGACCGGTTCTTCCAAAAGACTATATAGATTTAGGTCCTGTTTTGTAAGATTTCTCACTGTTCAGTGGCCATAAGTGCTGTACTTAGTTTTCAATTTGATCCCTTCGCGGTCAGTTTGCATCCAATTACAAGTGAAATATTCAGGAAGGTACTTAATGCAAAAAAAAAAAAAAAAAAAAAAAAAAAAAAAAAAAAAAAAAAAAAATCGTTTGTAATTTCCACATTCACTCTTCAATATTATCAATTTTACGATTGCAAGAAAGAAAGAACTAATGCGTAGAAGTAAACTGCAATTACATAATTATGTATCATATTTTTCATGATGATTTAAAAGAAGTAGTGTACTTTTGCATGTTCTTATTTTTTTTGGCTTTTACGCGGTACAGAAGTGCAGCAATGACCTTTCCTTATTCAATCAAGTTTTTTTTTATGTTCTACTTAATTGTTATCCTGTTGTTTTTCTAAGCATACATTGCATTAATACTGTTATTCTGTTAATATCATAATTTTCTTCATTTATTATAATAGGCATGTCCAACAAAAGTAATAACAAAATATACATATAACATGTGTATCTCTGTCGATTTCAGATATGATAAACGTGACGACTTCAAGTTTACAATAGTCATCTTCCCTTACTTAATGTGGCAATACACCCTTATGACCTGCATATGGGATTTAAGACTCTCAGTTGAATCGATAAGCAAGAACATTCTCTACGAACAAACAATTTCTAAAACGAGGCAAGCTATTGACAAGCAAGTTGATGAAACAAGAATATCAATAATTTAAAGTCAACATTTTGGAAGTTCTATGGTCGATACAATGACCCTTTTAGCGAATACAATCTATCATTAAGTCAAATGTTGATTGACGTTTTTCATACCAATTGTTAGGTTATTATTTACAGACTAAAATTTCTACAGATTTTTCCTTTAACCCCATAATGACAAGGAATACACAGCGGGTGTGACCGGTCGACAGGGGATGCTTACTCCTCCATGACTCCTGATCTCGCCTGTAATTTTTTTTTTTTGGTGGTCCATGTTTTCTCTACTTCCGATTTGTATTGCTTAAATGAACTATGAGCTTGAATGTTTTTCGTTATCTCCATATTTTTAAGCATTTTTTTCTTTTACAGAGGAATTAAATCAATCAAGCATGCATCTAAATATTTTTGTAATGAGATATAAACAGTCTCACAACTTTTAATTGTAGAATTTTGACCTGGATACCACATTGGTTCCTTGTATTGTTATTGTCTTATATGCAATGTACGCTTCATAGTTTACCTTAATAATCCTACACTCTACATTCCAAAGAATACTTCCTGTTTTCTCTTGGCTTTATATAATCACTCTAGCCAAGGAATGGCTAACTAGTTTATTACAATTAAAATGCATTCTCCAATAGTTCATAAAAATGATAATTTTTTTTTAAATGAAAGACAACATTCTTCTAATTGGTACAGTTCATCATTGTACGAACTTAATGTTGAGTTTATGACAAATGAAGGTAATCCAGGTCGTCATTGGTCTGTTGTACAGGTGTTTCAAAGACAGTTCTTAATGAGAAATGTCTCAATGCTATTTGACTAGGTTTTATCAAAATATATTCATTTAAGGAATTAAGACTACATGCTTAAAACGCTGTCGTAAAATTTATTCGTTAATGCATTTTCATTTAATTTGATAAGATAAATATGCTGTAATTACTTTTTCATTTCAGTATTAGTTTTAAAAAGTAGAACCATTAATTTCTTCTTTGAAAGAGGAGAGAAAATGGATGAAAGTTGAAAAAGTTTATCATCTTTTCATCTCAGTCTCTAATGGCTTATTTTTCAGTGGCGGGGGTATGTGAATTTGGAAGAAAATTTTATCCTTTATTCTTACTGTAATGATATCTTAATTCTTTTTCCTGCTGACATGAATTTACAATGAGGTTGTTAAATCCCACATAAGATCATACAGGAAGAAAAATATGTACACACGTATTAAGCTTTTCTTCATCTTAAGAGTCCTGGCGACCTTTTTTTTTTTTGTTTTTAGAAAGCTAAAAAAGTCATCTCAATAATCAGGGTGATGTTTTTGAAATATAACATCAAACATCAATATGAAATATAACATCAAAATTTTGGCTGAATTCATGTCGCTCTCATGTTCCCCTTGATGCAATGTCTTTCCAAATTCTCCACTCTTCGAAATGTTGCATTTCTCGCTTATTATTGACTTTGTATGAATGTATTATCTAATAATTATTACCAAGGAAATTTGCAAATTATCAGAAACGTCTGCTTTTCCTCTTCATTTTGGATATTTATCCTACAAGTATCGTGATTTCAGCGAATGTTTTTCTCAGTATGATACGAATGAAATACCTCTAACAAATAAGACAAGAAAACATTGATGTAACCATCAATTGTCGCCCGGGAAATAAATAAAGTAAACAATGGAAAGGAGTCTTGATCATCAAACCGCTTCGATATGTGTGAAAAAGGCATGCGTCTAAATGATGGAGACGATAGTCGAGAATATTTTGAAAACTTATAGACGGATGAAAATCGAACAAAAACGATACCCTTTTAAACTTTATCAATTCCTAAAGTAAATGTTGGCTGCATAAAATATAATCTGAAACCAGACACATGCATCACCTATTTTCAAAAATGTCTTTCACTTAAAGAATATAAAACACGAACTGTGTAAAGTACTTTTTTACGTTTTTATGCGATAAGTAAAATTCGATGTTCTAAAAAAAGGGACCTGTCGTTTTTTCGATAGTAAATGATAAGCAACTTTATATATTAAATATGAAAAA